TATCTATTTTCAGGCTCTCTTCTCTTGGTGCGTCGTCTCCTTCCCTCACATCACGTTGCTTCTTTACGCCATCTCTTCACAAAGCCCACACCTCTCCTTTTCTTCCATTCTGCTTACAGTTTTTTCTTGTTGGATCAATTGAAGCACACTGAGCCACAAGACTCAGGTAAGAGGCGCATATTATGTTTATTTCTTTTCAATTTCAATCTTCCCTCTTTCTCTTTAATTTCTAGGGTTTTAACTATCACTGTTGTTGCTGTTGGTTTTATCACGTATTGGCATGGCATTTTTCCATTTGGGTTTTAGGGGGTAGGGAGCTGCAGTGCAGATAACATAGAATCTGGAATTGTCATAAATTATGGTGCAGTTTGAATTATGTGGTTCCCTGTGGGAATTATTGAGAATAGTTGACCTGTTTTGCAAATACTACAAAGTTGGATTAAATAACAAGCAGTACTAGAAAAATATTATATGACGAAAAGGTTTTGGGGATTCAGTCCTTCCCTCCGTCCATTTCCGATTTTCACAGGCAGCGCAACTTCACTCTCCATTTCCTTTCCCTTCCCAGGTAACCCTAATTCCAAAAACCTAACCCGAAAATATATACATATATTCATACATAGTTGTCCATATGTGGATATGCGTGATGCGTGCATGTAGCCATGTAGCTCAGTTTGTTTCTCTGAAGCTTAGCGACTTCACTTATCTGAAATAAATTATCTTTTCCCCTTTTATTTGTATTAGATTCATATCTGCCTGTGTTATTTATCTGGCTTTTGTATGAATGCTCATGTGGGTTTTAGGTGTTTCAAAGGTTTCTTTTGATTTTCAAGGCATGTGGGTTTTTGCTGTTGGAAATTTGTCACTTTTTTTTTAAATTTTCATTTGGTAGCAGAGAAAATGCGTAACAGTTGTAATCATTTCCAATATTCTTTTGTGTATTTTACTTGTGGCTATTTGATTCAGGTTGTTCTGTTTCTGGGTTTGACAGAGGGAACTTGTTGGAAGTGCCTGGATTTTCTTTATAAGGTTGTCCACTGTCCAGTTGCCTTTGTAGGATTTAATTCTTTGACTATATTGTATCAACTATTCTCCCTTTCTGTTCAAGCATCATGCCTTCTGTATAAATTTTATTTTTGACATGTAATCCAGGTTTGTAGGGTTGTTTAAGTAGTTGTGCCTTCTTTGACTGGATATTGATAAGTGCATCATAGGCTAACTAAAGTACTTGAATTCCACACTTTATTGATTTGTACAAATTGGTGAAATTAGATGAAGGCTGAGAGTTATTTGTGGAGGAATCAGGAATGGGTGTTCTTGTGTGCTCTTTTCTTATGTGCTACTCTACTTCTTCTCATTCTTATGAAAAGAAAGTTATTATGTTATTTTCTGATTCATTTTCATATTTTGTAACTCATATCAGAGATAAAACCCAACCCATTCTAATTCTAAGAGTCTGGGAACAGGGACAAAGATGGCAAAGCGTCTAATTTCAACCTTTAACTATGGGCTAGTTGGCAAACTCTTTTCCGAGTCCTCCACCAAGGTAGCATTACCTTGATATATACATATTTGTTTATGCATTTGATACATGGATCTGATAGTGTGTGATGCTGTGTTGGTGTTGGTTGGGTTGGTTCATTTGGTTTAGCTGAACCCCGGAAAGGCAGTGGCTGTGGGATTGGGTAAACAGGACAAAGCAGGTTACAGTACCCAGGCCAAGCAAGAGTATGTATCTTTTACGGTGTTACTCTTTTTTTCCATGAATATTTTGTCACCATGGTTTATGTTTTATTTCTTTTTGGCTACTATGTTGTCACCACACCATTTTTGTGTTTGTGTATATGCTTTTATATTTTTTTTACTGGTTTTTTTTTTCTCTTCCTCTGTTCTTATGGTATTTGGGTTTTGGGTTGTGTTTGTCTTTTGAGTAGGTCTCATTTTTACGACGGTGCTTTTGTGGATGCATTCTTGATGAAAATGAAGAACAACAAAGATCTTCTTATGAATAAGAAAATTTGGTCGCGGAGATCTACAATTTTGCCAGAATTCGTGGGTTCTACGGTTCGTATTTATAATGGAAAAATTCATTTTCGTTGCAAGATCACTGAAGAAAAGGTTGGACATAAATTTGGAGAATTTGCAATGACACGGAAACGTAGAGTTCATGCTAAAACTACTGGACCAGCAAGACCAGCAAAACCAGGAAAAAAAGCAGGCAAAAAGTAAAGCTCTAAGAGCATGCATATGTCATTCAAAGAATCTGAATCACATCTCATGTTCCGACTTTTTTGATCTTGTAATGTCAGGTTTATATTGAAATTCTTAACATATCTGATTCTATCTTAACACATGAGTGATTTGGTTGGACATTTCCTGTGGGTGGTTGTGTTAGGTTTTGATCCTTAGTGTGGTTTAATTCATTGTTGAAATTTTCTCTCAGTGGATGCTTGCATGCTAATACTTTTGGTAAGCACAAGTTGTGGTTGGTTTGTTATTTGCATTGACAGAGATGTAGTTTGTCCAAACGAAGCTATTTGATTTCAAATAAGTTATGAATACCCTTTTCTCCCTACTTTGTTGGAAGAAATCCAATGCTGGAACCAGCTTTTCCATGTGAGCTAGGTTAGCTAGGTTGGAAGAAATATTTTGGTACTCTTTTTCCGGTTGAGATCCTCCATCTGATTTTAATTTCTCTAAACAAAAATAATTTACTTCGTAATTTGTAAATGTGGTGAAGCCAAAACCCAAAAAAAAAAAAAATATAAGTTCTTTTTAAAAGTAAGGAAAATTAAGATGCCATATCTTATTTTCTGCAAAAATACAAAAAGCCCTTCTGCGCTCATATTGTACCTTCTCGTAAATTATTCCTGGAAGAAATACAAAATATTTAGTAAGGCTATTCGTGTAATTTTGAAAATCTAAATGAAAAAAAATAGAAGAAAAGGAAAAACACCTGACAGTGACACACTCGCACAGAGAAAATGGAGGATGAGAAACTGAGTACAAGTACAACACAAGCTGAGGGAGTAGAAAATATTAAAATAAAAATTGAGAATGGAGGAAAAACTTCCCAGCTCCCAGTAGCATCTGTACGGTGGGCGACTGTAGCTCAAGGTCTCAACTTCTCAGCGGTAGATAGAACAGAAAGCTGGTGCTGAGTTGAGTGTGATGGGCAGAGGTAGAAAGAGGTCAGGGAAAGACCCAGAAGCGGGTTTTGGAGAAAATGATGGGGGTTTAGAGAAGAAAGAGGGCTTTTTGGAAAATCAAAATGGTGGGACAAAATGGGTAGGTGAAGAAGGTGATGGGGTTGCTTTGAGTTTGAAGAAGAAGAAGCGTGGTGGAGCTTTGGCGGGTGAGAAAGTTGTGGAAGGTGGGGATGGAACAAAATGGGAGGAGGGTAAAGGCAATTGGGTTGCTCCGACTTGGAAGAAATATAGTGGGCGGAGGAAGAGGGACAGAGATTTGGTGCCTGAGAAAGTTGGGGAAGGTGGTGATGGAGGTAGAAAGAAATGCCAAATGGGTTCTGAGAATCGGACTGGGAGTGATGAGAAATGGGATTCAATGGGTCTGGGGAATGAGAAAGTTTATGTCTTTAGTGAGTTGGACTCTCAAGAAGGTCAAGGGCAAGGAAGTACTGGTTTTAGTGGCAAGGAAGTTGAAGGAGCTTCAGCAAAGAAACGTGGTAGACAGAGTAAGAAAAGTGAGAAAGTTAAGGCATCTGAAAGGGGAGTGGAGAAGTTTGTCAGTGGGAATTGTATTGTTAATAAGAAGAGTGCAGAAGTATGATGTTTGTAATTCTCTGTTTTGTGATTGTTTTCTATTGTTGTGATTATGTAATAACTTCTGATTTTGGATCTAACAGTTTGTTGAGGAGGTGTCTTTGATGTGCCATCAATGTCAGAGGAATGACAAGGCCAGTGTTGTTCGGTGCAGAAGGTGCAAGAGAAAGCGGTTTTGTATCTCTTGCCTAAAAAAATGGTATGGATTACTTGCTTGATCTATCTTATTGATTCTTCTGATTACTAACTTGTAAAGATGGTTGATTTTTTGAATTAGTTTTGTTGGACTTCCATCATTCTTTGAAGTGAGTTTTATTAGTAAAATCCAGTACATGTATCTTGAACGTTTGTGGATTTAATTTTCCAGCAACTTGTTTTTGAACAGGTTTTTGGAAAATTATATAAATTTCTTAGCCCAAGTACTAATTCATTCTGCTATTGTAAATTTAGTTAAAATGAGTTATATGCTGTTACCGAAAAAAAAAGAGTTATATGCATTTGACTAAGTATGTAATCAAGCAATATAGATGCACTCCCATAAAACTAATTTCCTTTACTCTGTAAATTGCTCAATATTTGTTAATAAAGGTTTTAGAATCAACTTTAAATTAATGGGTGGGACCTGGGGTATGTTAGGACTGGATCTAGTACTGAGAGAAGTCTCTTTTTATGTGTAATTGTAATACTCCAAATATTTTGAATTGATATTTGAAGTTTTTCTTTACATAGTTTTTATGACTACTTATTTAGAAGTTTTTTACTGTATAGGTATCCTCAGATGTCAGAGGATGCTATTGCTGAGGCTTGTCCTGTATGCCGTGGAAATTGCAATTGCAAAGCATGCTTACGCTTAGATGTACCTAAAGTCAGTTTAACCTTCTGGGGACATCTCCTGATTTTCACCTCATGCCTGTTCATTTCATATGTTATTTATGTGAAGTCTGATAAAATCTTATGGTTTTTACTGTAAAAAAATTTAATGCGTCAGCTGCAATTCTGCATTAGCGAGCTGCAATTCTGCATTAGCGAAGATAAAAAGGTTGAGCACTCAAAGTATTTGCTCCAAGTACTGCTTCCATTCTTGAAAAGAGTTAATGATGAACAAATGGTTGAGATGGAGATCGAGGCTAGGAGACAAGGTATATTCTGTTTTTGTCAGACAGGTGTAGGAACTTATTATATGGAGTTTGTTGATGATACAAATAAAAGTGCAGTCCAAGAACTGCAAAAACAGGGACTGAATTTACTTGAAACACTGTTGGAACCAAGAGAACAAACCCACACAGAAGTTCTTTGTATTTAAAGGAAAGTATTGAAACTTCCTATTGAAATTTGATTACGATACATCGTGTTCTTCCTCTGTTATAGTACCAGCCTTAATGGACCTTAAACTATCCGCTTAATTTACCAGCTCTTACATTTCCTAGATTTCATTTGTTATAACGATTCACACCCCACCTAAAAAAGTTCCCAAATTTCCAATGTCATCTAATATTTTGAAAAGGATTTATAACTTTGTGTTCAAGTGACTACAATGAAGAGTTTTTGCCCCCCATAAATATAATTATTTTGGGTGTGGGATGTAAGATTAGAAGATGGCTTTGCATGAACAGATTTTGGGCGAAAGGTAGCAGGTTTGCAAATGACATTGTCTCACACACAGGCACACATAGGTATATTCTTTATGTTACATTAATTTGTTTTATTCAGATTTTCCTAGTGGATATTTCTTGATTCTTCCTTGGGGTTGCTTCTGATTGTAGAAAAAAAAAATGTGAAATTGGTTCTTTAATTCGCAAAATAAGTGATCAGTGTGATATTATTATCTTTATCACCTAAGACCTAACACAAAATATTAACAAAACTTTCTGCATCTTTGTAATTTGCTTTTTGGATGTCCATTGGGACAGGGCTATCTCTTTCGGAGCTAAAGATACAAAGATCAGATTCCTCTTATGGTGATCGAGTGTACTGGTGGAGCCTTTACCAGAAATTTATTATGTTATAGATTTGTTCCGTATACCTATTAAGGATCCAATATTAACTTTTTTGTTTTCTTTTTCAGCAACAACTGCAAAACTTCTATTATTGATTTACACAGAAGCTGTCCTATATGTTCATATGATCTTTGCCTCATCTGTTGCCGAGAGATTCGAGATGGACACCTGCTGGGAGGTGAGGAGGAAGTGATTATGGACTATATCAATCAGGGCCTAAACTATTTGCATGGTGAAAATTGGGACACTGTAGAACTGCCTTCAGAAACTAGCCACACATGTCGTACAGGTTCAACATCTGAGTGGAAAGCAAATTTAGATGGAAGTATTTTTTGCCCCCCAGAGAACAAGGATGGTTGCGGTCATAGTTTTCTAGAATTGAGATGCATGTTTTCTGAAAATGATATCAGAGAGTTGGTTAAGAAAGCAGAGGAAATTGCCCAAACTTACAAATTTACACACGCGGCTGGAACTTCTGCACAACGGTGTTCATGTTCTAATTCTGCAGGTGTTCTTGACTTGAGCAGCAATAAGTTAAGGAAAGCAGCTTCTCGAGAGGGTTCTGATGACAACTTCTTGTACTGTCCAAGGGCTGGAGATATCCAACATGAGGAGCTTAAGCATTTTCAATGTCATTGGATCAGAGGTGAGCCTGTGATTGTGAGCAATGTGCTTGAAACTGCATCAGGTCTAAGCTGGGAACCAACGGTCATGTGGCGTGCTTGTCGTCAGATGAAACATACTAGGCATAAGAAACATTTGGAAGTCAAGGCCATTGATTGCTTAGATTGGTGTGAGGTCAGTTGTTATGACTTTTAATTCCTCAGTACTTTTTGGTGTGAGGTCAGTTGGATTGATGCAGGATGAACTTCTGAACATACAACTGAGGACAGTTGTAATTTGGTTTTGTTTTGATGATTTCTTTATCAGAATGTTGGTGGATCTCTTATCCACCAAACTTTTGTACCTTGTACTATGTCTATATGTTTATCTTTCGTTTCTGGTTATTTGTTAACTTTTATTTCTTGTACGAAAAACAATTGATCAGTATTGTTTGTACTTATTTGTTCAATTGCTAACTACTGGTTGGTTTGATGTTCTTAATCTGGTTCACTATTTAAGTTCTAGCAAGGGAATGCTAAGAAGAAATATATGTACAGGTGTTGTCATCAATTTCAGGTTGAACCTTTTATGGGGGTTTCATTTTTTTACTGGTTTGTGCAGTTTAAATAAGCATATATTGGTCACTGGTTTAAATTATAATTTCTTATAATATATTTTTCTTTGCTCGTGACTTGTGAGTTATACGATATTTTGTTTATTCATGTGTCAGACATTTATTTAGTGTGTGATTCATTAAGGAAAGAGGAAGACCAAAAATAATATAGATGGAGTGATGATGGATTAGTTAACTATGAACCAAGTCAAAGCTAATTAGTATGCTCACCCATCCATGTATTAAGAAATTCAGAATAAGAATTTTGCATGAAATCAAGTTAAATTACACTTCACTCAAACTCTGAATATAGGAGAGCTCAATTACTGATTAGACCCCTTAGAGTTTTGGGTTTGTTCAAACTTAATGCAAGTTCTAAACTCAGGCTTTGAAATAAAACGAAGAACAAGGTAAGATTGTGCTAGTTTGCTGGAAAATAACTGAAAA